AATTAAGAGGCACAGGGAGACAGAGACAGATAAGACACACACACACATACAGAGAGAGAGAGAGATAGAGAGAGAAAAGGATGCAGACGTTGCCCTACCAATCTAGAAATTAATCTGGAGGGTGACACCTTAACCAAAGTTCTTCATTTTTGGTCCCTGAAAGCAATATTTCACAGCTGAAGTTCAGCAGCCATTTCAGAATGGGCCTGGGTTTGTGTCTCTACAGTCTAGAAATGAATCTGGAGGAGAAGACTCATAGGGCATCATGTTTCATTGCTGAGCCGTCATCCAGAAACTCTTGAGTTTTTCAAAACGTATGTTTCATCTGTTTCCTTCTAATTCCAATAGACATTCCAATTACCAGCAAGATGACGAATGTGAAAGTAAGAAAATTTTGATTTTTAGTCCCTGAAAGCAGTATTTCACAGCTGAATTCAGTAGCCATCTCAGAATTTGCTGCCATTGTCTGGGTAGCAATGATTACCTCTTTGGGATCAACCCTTTATATGTGATCTGGAAACAGATACACAAAGGAAAAGCAGTCCTTTACTGTCCAGCTCTGCAAAACAAATTAAGAAACTCAGGAAGCGCACTTTTGCTCCCTCTAGTGGTTAAGTAGTGACTCCACAGTCCAGAGCAGTCTGTGGGATACAAGGTCTATTTACATTATGAAAGCCTCAGTAAAGCCTAAGCCTGGCACTCTTCTTATACCCCCACACCCAAAGGGGTTATTATCCAAAAAGACATGTTTTAGTTCATGGTAAACAAGCTGTCTTGCTGCAAAAGGATTACAATTTTCACAACTTGACCCTCACCCTCTTTTCTTCCCAGTGATTTTGAGTTCACGATGTAAAGAGTAAGATATAACTAATCGTTTGCCTGCATTATTCTAAATGAACCAGTGTAAACTCTTAAGAAACAACTTGAAATCTCAAAAAGAGAGAGAGAGAGAAAAGAAGAAAGAAAGAAAGGTGTTACTCTCAAATCCCTTTATGTTAGGCTAAAATAAGGTGCTGTCAAAAACTTTAATATTTTTCATGGGATTTATCAAAGTTAAGCTTTGCGCAATTTACAAGAAATGAGTTTAATGGTACTGCTAGGGAAAATAGACCTGGTCTACCTGATGAGGTCCTTGGTGCTTTGGTAAATGTTGAGATGTTTGTTTTATCATTTAGAAGGAGGGA